TCTGCCTGTTCTGCTCCCCACTCTGTCTCTGGTGAAGCCTCTCGCCACCCCTGAGCCTCTGGCCTGTACCCCAGTTCTATATGCACAAATAAATAAAATCCTTTTAAAAAAATTAAAAAATAAAAAATAAAAAACAATTTATTTGGTGCTAGCCAAATTAAGTGTAAAATGAAACTCATTTTCCTATCTAAAAATAGAAATTTCACCCTGAATCTCGTCTCCCATGTCATTTTATCAACTTAGAAGGTATAAGAAGAAAAGTAGGGAAACGAAGTATATTTTAATAAACACGCATGTCATTTTCCATGTCCTTTTGTCAACCTGCGCTGCTTGCTAAGGCCTTTGCGCGCCTGGCCGTGTTAGTCACACAGCAGGAAGCCAGGCGGCCCCAGGCCCCATGCAGCTTGCAGCGTGCTGGGGGCAGACTGGCATCTGGGACTCACAGGGCAGCATGCCCACTGCGCTAGGACCGGGCCTGCCGTTAGCGCCTTTTACTTCCTTCCTGTTATTTTTTTTAAAATAGCAATCAAAACAAAGGAATTATTATTTTCACTGAATGTACCTCTGTTTGGGGATTGCAAGAGAAGTTGCGATAATACTGTATTCATAAGATTCAGAATTCAGAAGCAGTAAAGATACCCAGTAAAACATGTTTTACCTCTGCTCCCCAGATTTCCCCGCCCTATAGAAAGGTAACAAACATTAACACTCTTGTGCCTATAAAAGTACAGTGAGTGTGGAGCTGAGCATGTATTTTAAACGTACAAGACCATGGCTATATCCGATCTTCAAAAGCAGGTCTTGTAGGTGGGACTAAGAGTGATTGGTGATACTGGGTAGATGAGTTCTTTAAAGGAATTCTAAGGGAATTGTTTCTTTTGTTTTCCACATGCACAATATTCTTACCCCATTTTATTTTTATTGTGGTAAAATACACATAACATAGAATTTGCCATCTTAGTCATTTCTAAGGTACAGTTCAGTGACATTACAGGTGTCCAGCTGTTAGCAGCCGGCACTCCCTCTTGTCTCTAGGAATCATTTCCTCTTGTAAAATTAAGATTCTATGTCCAGAAAACACTAACTCCATTCCCCTGACCCTGGCAACCAGCATTTCTGCTGTGGGTGTCTGTGATTTTGATGTCCCTCTCCTAAGTGGAGTCATACAATAGCTGAAGCACTGGAATTCTGTAGCAGTGGCAAAAATTTGAAGTGGAAGTAGAGATCCTGTAGTTTATCCTCCATTACTTGGTTTTTGTTTTTTCTTTAGTCCAGTAATCTATATTGTGCTTCAGATTTTATTATGGAACTAATGCAGTGAAAAAGTGTTCTCTAGATTCATTAATAAACACAGTCATAAATGACTAATTTTCTCAGGAAAATTAGAGCCTTCCTTTCATAGCGAGATCAACTTAAAGACAGCACTTTCATGCAATTTGCTTTAGATTTTTACACAATTTATCTTGATTATCACACGACTACATCATTACCCCTAATGCTTTTTTTTTTTTTTTTTCAGATGTATATTGCTTGTGTTTGGCGTGTGGATCCTTTATATCCTCAAGTTAAACTATACTACTGAAGAATGTGACATGAAGAGGAGGCATTATGTAGACCCCGACCGTATAAAGGTCAGCTCTTCCACTGGTATAGTTTAAACTAAGACATGTCTAAGTTCATGAGATTTAGACAAATAAAGAAATTAAATATAAAAAAATAAGATATTTGTAAACATACATGTGAGTAGTAATATCATCCGTAAAGGATTATAAATGGAATTTATAAACAGAGGGGGAACAGTCTAAGGTTCCAAAACCCCTATCAGAGACCCTATCAGTGTCGCCTGTGTAGTAGCCAACCCACCGAGCCACCGCAAGGTCATCATCCCCCCCCTTAATACCTGTCGTACTTTAATAGGCCACCATGTTGCCACGTACACATTGTTAGAACAGGAAGAAACTCCTGTGTCTTATTTTTGCTTTAATGACTGCAGTTGTATTTCAAAATATTTTTATGTTTATGTTTATTTTGCTAAATCAACTGGCTTGATAAATGCTAATTCCACTGATTACTTGAATGGTCAGATTATTCAATAGTGTCCATCCCTGCCTGCTCTCTGCCTGACAGGGATTGTCTAAATCAAAGAAGCCAGGTGTACACTGATTGAAAAAGATACCTGTACCCCCATGTTTATTGCTGCTTTATTTACAATTGGAAAAACATGGAAGCAGCCCAAATGCCCAAAAGTAGATGACTGGATAAAAAAGATGTGGTACATATATACAATGGACTATTACTCAGCAACCAAAAAAGAGAAACACATGTCTTTTGCAGCAACTTGGATGGAGCTGGAAAAGATCATGCTTAGTGAGATAAGCCAGAGAGAGAAAGAAAAATACCGGATGGTTTCACTCATAGCAGGAGTATAATGGACCAGGCGAGAAAATAACAAAAATAATGAACAACCATATACCAGAGACATTTTGCGGAGGTGGAGTGGGGAATGGGATCAAAAACGGGGGATGGGGGGAGAGAAATGCACGGGATTATGGTGATGGCACACGGGTGACTTGGTGATGGGAAACCCGCGGGGATTACAATTGAGATGGAAAAAAAATGTACAAAATGATGTAAAAATAAAAAAACTAAAATAAAAAAAAAGAAGCCAGGTGTTAATAGTCAGCATGAGGCAGAAAGGAGAGTCTGCATTTCTGACCTAGTGTTAAATCCATAAGGCACTTAGTAAAATGAGACCATGGGCAAGTTACCTGACTGTTTCGGGTCCTACTCTGTGAAATGTAGATGAGACCGTCTTGTGTCGCAGGGTAACCATCAAAGTTGAATGACATAATACATCAAATACTCCTTTTCTACTCCTGATTTTTCTGCTACGTTTCTATTTTAATTGGTGTGTCCTTCCAAGTGGCTCGCATTTTTGTGATATAGGAAAGTATAAACACATAGGTAACAGAGCTGGCCTCTGCACCGCTGTGTCTCAGGGCTCTTGCTGAGAACAGCCTTGCTGGCCTTGCTGATCTGCGCTCAGGGCCGCTGACTCAGTTGCAGTTCAGCATTCGCACATCCGCTTCAATGGAACAGGGCGGACCCATGTTCTCTGCTCCTGTTTCTCCCTCCACCCAGCTTGGCTGGGCTTGCAGACATCCCCAGATCCCTGTCAGTTCCACAGAAATGTTGGATACCATTTTTGGACATCCTGTCTCTGTTTTTTTGTCTCCTGGGAAAGGCAGGAAGCGCTGGCACTTGCTCTAACTTACTGATATGTGTGAGCCCTTCCCTTATTTCTTTACCGCCCTTCACATTCTCTGCACGTACTCTCCCTCCTGTCCACATAACTACAGCACTGACCTACTGGGCAAATGTAGTGGCAATTGTTCTAGGGTCTGGGTTCATTGAGGAGAAATGGGGCTGTCTAGTACCCCATTTCACTAGGACAAAATGGACCAGGGTGGTTTAGTAACACCCTGGGTGAAATCGTCTGATTGGTTTTCATGCCCAAGCAGCACCATCTGCATCCAGATGTCCTGGGGCTACCTAAGGTTGACTTCCTGGAGCTACAGTAGCTTCAGGATGGTCTGCTTGTCCTGCAGTGTCAGACAGGAACTCTGGTGTTTGTGATCATTACTCTCTTAAGATTCCCCCAAGGAATCTCAGAGAATCAAGAGTAGAGACTCAAGACCATGTCCTTGAGAAACTGTTGGAAAATGGGAGCATTTGCATACCGCAAAGGAGAGAAGACCTGGTGCTGGGCTCCTGACAGCTGCTGTCAGCCATTCAGCAAATAGCTGTTTTCCATTTTGATCTCTGTCAAAATGCCTCACTTTTCACAATGGTTCAGGCAGTGAATCACTGAGAAGGATTGTCCCACACTGAGCTTCAGTGTGTGCAAAAAGTATGTGCCTCGAGGAGTCAGATGAGAAGGGGAGCAAGAGGTGGATATGATGAAGATTTGGGGTGGGGATCAGACACTGAGCACAGTTCAGGGCCAGAGCAAAGACCTGGAGTCTGCACTAAGCTGCTGCTAAGTTTGATAACTGGTTATGCAGAACGAACAAAAGCCTGCGCAGAAAATCTCTCCCCTGGAGTGTTTAAGTGCTTAAACTTTGACCAAGGTGAAGGTTTGTTCTAGTTAAATAGATCTAGAACTGGGGGATAATACGTATATATATCATGAGATTATTCTTTTTAAGTGTACAGTTCATGAGTGTTAGTTAATGTTACATACACCACCATGCCACAATCCAGTGTAAGGACCTTTCTGTTGCCTGAGTTAATTCCCTCTCACCCAGTGTGATCAGGCTCCACCCTCCACACCCAGTCAAAGTAATACCCAGCCCTGTTGGGTTTTCATTGCCCTGCGCTTTCTTGGTTATTCAGATTTTCCTCTGCTTTTAACTAGGGTAAACGTAGAGACCAATAATTTCAATTGGCTGATACAGCAGCTCAGCTGTTGTAGAACAGCACAGTGCTGTTCTAGTGTGATAGCCCTGCAGGGTCTTCATATTTCCAGTGGTGCCAGATGCTATGGGCACCCCAGCAGCCTGGGGGAGAGAGCAGGAACGTTGAACGTGGATGTTGCATAAGCAACTGGCGCCCTTGGTCATGTGGCTGTGTCAAGTTCCTGCCCAGGTTTGGTTACTCCTTCGACCCAAAGCTCTGCCCTGCCCTTCAGACTCTTAAAACGGAAGGCATTTCTCTCTGAGCTTTGAGGAGGGAGGAGAGAGGCTAAAATGAAACAGAACTTTGCCTTTTTCTAAGCATCATGCCACTTCTATGCACACTGTATTTCTGAGAAGGATTGTCCCAGAAATTATGAAGCAGAAATGAAAGTGGAGATTTTCTTGAACAATATTACTTTGATTTTCTTGATATCCTTCAGTGAATTTTCACGTTGTGGTTTTCCATGGCAAATGGGCACATCCTTGACAATTGGGACCACCCGATGTTTGCTTATTCTGAATTGTGGGCAGCCAATAAGCTCAGCCTTCAAGACTTTTAAAATGGAAGCTCTCATTTCCAAGGCTTAGTTGAAAGAAGTGGGAGGGAGATTCTCTATCTTCAAGCAAGTACGAGGCCCTGGCATCCCGGTCGGCACCCTGAGTGAATGCCATCCAGACCCCGTCCTCTGTGTCCTTGCCTGTTCTGCTTCTAGCTTTGGAACTGTCTGCAGCAGAGAAGGGGAAAGTCACACAAAGCTTCCTCCTCGCTTACAGTTCCCAGAGGCAAGAGGCTCTCGGGAAGCGTTTCTCTTCTGAGCTTTGAAAAGGAAGGAGAGAGGCTGAGACAATTTCTGTTCGAGGAAATTATCCCAGGGGCTTTCTCAGAGCTTGTTACACATCCTTAAACGAGTTGAAACAAAATAAAAAGAGGTCTTACTGAGGCTTTAGACATTTCTAGTGACATTTAGTGCATGTATTCACTCGGGATTGATTGATTGTACCCACTGTGAAGGGGTCACCATCGAAGGCTGTCACCAAGCCTGTGCTCTGCTCACAGTCTAGAAAAATCAGTTTAAGCCTGAAATGAAACTCTTTGCCAGAATGGAAATCAAAAGAAATGTCGCTCCTTCCAAATGAAACCTGAAGAGAAAACCTGGTAGAAGCCACACATTTCTAGCTTCATCACCTAACGCTTCCCAGTCACGAGTTGATCACTAAGCTCCCCTTGGTCTCCAATTCTTCTCAGATGAATTTGAGTTTGAATTCAAATTCTTCTCAACTGTTCATTTCAACCCTCAGAAGCTCGTAAAACCAGATGCTTGGGATAGTTTTCTGTGGTAAAGAATTAGGCTTTTTGTCCTTTCAAAAGTGCTGCTCATGACCTTTGGATCTGGGGGCTGGATGGAAGATGCACACTCTGCACCCTTGGGCATGAAGGTCTGCTGGGTGCAGAGTGTCACCAGTATGGCTGACACATCTGGGAGTGAGTACCCCCCTTCAGGGGTTGTTTGGGTCCTCTCCCTTCCCTTGTTTGACTTTCTTATGGTTTTTCATAAAGAAGCCACTTCATAGCCAGTCTTGTTCTCAGTGATGGCTGCTGTGTGCTGTTCCCTGTATGCAGAGGCTGTAGCTTTAGGAGTTTGTGGAGTAACCAGGAAAGTTTAGTATGTACTGTCAGCTTAGTCCTTTCAGTGGTGACGCCATGTGAGCCCACAACGTAAGGATGCTGTCAACGGCCGTGTGAGGGATTATGACAGCTAAGAAAGCATCGTCGGAGGCTCAGACAGTATCAGTTACCTTCTTGAGAAATGTAGCCAGATCCTCACCATGTTGATAGTATACCTTTCCCAGGCACTAATAGCTTTTTGAAATTTTAGTTAAATAAAAAAAGGGACGAAGAGCTTCTTTTATAAGAAGATGCATTCCTTAAAAAAAAAAAATGAAAATCGGACAATTAAAAGACTGAGGATAAATGGAGTTGAGGCAGACACTTAAGCCTGTGTGAAACAATAACAATCCTCATAATCTGCATATTCTCATATACATATCTTTATATATCTGATGATTTCCTTGGAAATAATCCCAGTAGCACTGATACAATTCCAAAAGTCACAAGCCAGTAAATATAGAGCTCTCTCTGTCTCTGTCTCTCTCACATACACACAGGTAAAGGAAGGGGAGGGAGTTTGGTGAGGCAGCACCAGAGCTACTGAATGTGGAGATAAGGACAGTAATGAGGGGCAACTAACTACCGTATGGTTCTGAAGGAGCATCTGGCCGACTTAGCCACGAGGAAGGCGATGGGGCATAAGGGCCTCTGTGCCTATTCCTCCGTGCCTTGCCGCGGTCACCTGGGCTAGTGTACTTTCGCTCCTTGGCGATGCAAAACATTACTCCGCAGGGAAAATCGTATATGGAACCAAGGCAACTTCTATGTCCACATGATATGGTTCCCTGATTACATTTAAAGTAATTTGCATTCCAGACTATATGCAGCTCCTTACCCAACTGATGCATAAGACATTTTCTCATCCTTCTGCTTGGGAGCCTGACATGTGAGATCCTTTTATAGGTTGTGGTAAAAAAACCACATAGTACAAAACTTACCCTCTTAACCAGTGTTAAATGTACAGTTTGGCACATTTAGTATAAGCACATTGTTGTGAAACAGATTTCTCTAACTTTTTCATTTTGCAGCTTCCCCTATCCCGTCCCCCTACCCCTGATAGCCACCATTCTACTTAATATCTCTATGAATTTGAGATCTTTAGATATACCTCATATTATTAATGGAAGCATGGGACATTTTCTGTGGCTGATGGATTGCATTTAGTGTAAAGTCCTCAAGATTCATCCATGTGGTAGCATATGTCAGGATTTCATGAACGTACAGCCCTCAACACCTTAACAGATGTTTTTTACCCCAGGTTTATTCAAACAAGATTATGCTGGGGTCCAGAGAAAGGGGGACCTTCCTGCTTTACTTTTGTAGTGAAATATTCTTGTTGAGTTTATCTCCTTAGCATGTGACTTTCCTAGGTTTTCAAGTTTCTGAACATAAATTAACTCCAAAAAAGCACATGGTCTGTGTTAAAAGAGAATAATCAACAAGGGATTATATCAGACATCACAGGACAAAGTGTCATCTATGAGTGTCTTTTTAATGCCTGAGAGTTCCTCATACTGTGATGGGTGTGATTCTTTCCTTCCAGAGAGCTCAGAAATATGCTCATTCCGTCTTGCAAAAGGAATGTCGACCCCGATTTGCAAAGAAGTCAATGGCGCGGCTGTTTGGGCAAGGATACAGCATGGACTTACCACCCTTCGTAAAGAAGACCCCCAAAGTAAATGAAGCTGAATGCCAGTACGACCCTCCTTTTGGATTCCGGAAGTTCTCCAGTAAAGTCCAGACCCTGTTGGAAATTCTGCCTGAGCATGACTTTCCCGAACACTTGAATAGCAAGAGTTGTAAGCGTTGTGTGGTTATCGGAAGTGGTGGAATACTCCATGGACTAGAACTGGGTCATGCCCTGAACCAGTTCGATGTTGTGATAAGGTACATTGGCTTTAAAACCAGCCTTTCTCCTCTAAAGTTAAGTTCACAGCCGCCATGAGTGCAGCTCTGAGAACAGTGAGAGACACTGGCGGCCCTGTGTGTCCCTGCCCCCGGGACCTGCTGCTTGAGAAGCTGAAACAAAAGCATGAGGGGTTTGGACACCCAGACTGTGCCACACTGAGCCTAACGTGCCATAACCTTGAGGAGGCGATGAGGTTGGAAGGACAGCTAGCAGGGACACAGGAAGCGCAAGGAGCATCTGGGATGGCAGACTTCACAGGCAGTCCCCAGCCATCCTTGATTTTCTTTGGGGGTTATCTCACTAAAAATTGTTTTGCTGTTATAATAGTGAGGTACCTTATGTTCATTCTTGGGGAGTAAAAAAATACCAAAAAGTATGTGGAAGAAAGCAAATGTAGCACAGAGAAACCAGTCACTATTAATTTTCTATGTTTTATACACTTTTGTGCTCTGTACATACTGATGAGTACATTCTATTCTTAAAAAGGATCTTGTTTCTGAAACTTAATACCATGAACATTCCTCCTTTGCTGAGCATTTACAGTGTATATGTATTTATGTAATTATGTACATTTCTTGATTATTTCCTTGGAAATAAATCCAAGAACTTCTAGAACTCTTGGCTTAAAGGTATTTGAATATTTTTAAGTCATTTAAAACACACTGGTAAATTGTCTTTGTCCTAAGATATGAGAGTGCTTCAGAGAGAGGAATAGTATGATGGAGAGAAACCTTTTTCAGGGTAAATTTAAAATAATTCTAAACGTCACAGAAAAGTCTCAGGATAGTGCAAATAACTCCTATTTACCCAGATTCCTCGATTGGTAACATTATATACAGGTATGTAAATGTAGATGCATTTGTATAACTTTGCTTTGTTACTGTTTTTCTTTTCTAAACTATTCGAAATTTGTTGGAATCATCAGTTCCCTTGCACCCACATGCTATAGTGTGCTCTAACTAAGAACGAGGACGTACTCTTACAGAATAGCAGAGTGTACTATTACAGAATAACAGTCACAGAATGCTATTCAGAGTTAGGAAATTAACACTGATGCAATATAATGTGTGCAGAGTCCTATTCAGATGCATCCGTAATGAAATAAATAAATAATGAATTTATTTGAATGAAATAAATAATGTCCTTTATTTTAAAAAAGAAAAAGAAGTAGTCTAGGATCATGCCCTGCCTTCTCTTGTCATATCTACTAATCCAGCATTTAGGTAGCTGAGATCTAGAAGAGGAAGTAGTAGTGGAGGGGGAAGGAAAGGTTACAGGTTTGATAACATAGCTGAATAACTGAGATTTCAAAACTGTACCTGATTGAATAATATATCTATAAGAATTCCTAGAATTTTCCCCCAGTCACCCTGGTAAAGCCTTCATTGATCTTGCTTTAAGTACCCACCTTGTTCCCAATCCCATCCACGTAACTGGTTTGTTTCTGCCTTGCCCCGACTTCTAGGTTTTTCTTGCCAATCACCTCTGTAAAATTCTGACAAGAACCAATAATATCTGAGCACAATGGTAAGCTTTCAAGGAAATGTCACTAGTGCCCAGGGAAAGATCAAACAGTCATGTTTCAATTGGCTTAGGATGACAGGACTAGATGGAGTTTCTTGATGTTCAGAGATGAGCTATGGGTGTCCCTCAGAGCTGAAAGCTACTGGGCTCATGTTCACCAAACAACTGGAAAGGGTGAGGGCCACAAAGGCAGCCGAGAGGGGTTCTCTACCTCTAACCTGTACTCAGCCCCTCTCCTAGGTAAAAAGTAGAACACGGGGCCCTCCCTGGTGGCGCAGCGGGTTAAAGCACAGCACTGGGAGGCTGAAGCCGCTTCCCCATGAGTTCGATCCCCGCCTGCCCCGGAGGTGACCACATGGCGTGGCAGACCTCTCCTGACCCGCCCGCTGCTCCCCTCAGCAGTGTACTTCGTTGATCTGCCTGTTCTGCTCCCCACTCTGTCTCTGGTGAATCCTCTCACTGCCCCTGTGTCCCGGTTTTGTATGCATAAATAAATAATCTTTAAAAGAAAAGTACTTAATGGCTTGCTTTGTCAATTTATCTTTGTCCTTTTTATTTAAATAGGTTAAACAGTGCACCAGTTGAGGGCTATTCAGAACATGTTGGAAATAAAACTACTATAAGGATGACTTATCCAGAGGGCGCACCGCTGTCTGACCTTGACTATTATTCCAATGACTTGTTTGTTGCTGTTTTATTTAAGAGTGTTGACTTCAACTGGCTTCAAGCAATGGTAAAAAATGAAACCCTGGTAAGCACTAGGATTCACCTATCAAATGTGCCTTTATAACAAGTAAAGGGGGTTTCCAGTTAGAGTTGAGGGTTTTTTGTTTTTTTTTTTAACAATGAAGTGCATGCTTTTGTGTTGTCTTTCAATAATCACTTGGGTGGTAGAAACCCCTGGGAATCCCTTGCTGGGAATTTCTTTCAGAACTTGATTGACGCATGGAAATTGTGGTTACTATTTAATGGGAATGTTAACTTTTGAACCCAAACTGCTGTTACTAAGGTTGCTCACCCACTTTATTTGCCAAATTTGAACTTACTAGAGCTTTTGGCTGTTTCCATAAAATAGATGTATGTGGAGGAATACAAACCATGATTGAGGATATTCAAAAGTATATACACAAAATCTCTAAGACTTTGTCCCAAAGAGATTCTCCCAAAAAGGCTTTATTTGATCATCTTGTTAAAGTAAATCCTTTTCATTCTAGAGGATCAGGGTTGAGGCATTGGTCTTCACTTTTGTTTCTTTTTACAGTGATCGAACACATTATTTTATCACCCTACCTACCCATTATTTTATAACCCTTTGACATAAACTTCAAAGATCAGCTGTCCTGTAGAGCACATGGGTTTATATACACATGCACAGACTAGCTGTCTGCAAAATTGTTAAGGCATGTTAAAATTTTCACCTAAGTTTCATGTGGTTGAGACTTGGTGTATTCAAAGCTTGATTCTGTCCCTGCCGTGATCATCTGGATTTCCTATTGGGTACAAGTTGTCAGGTTGGAAGATGAAGCTCTTATGAAGTCACTTAAGAACACTTCATAGAAAAGGAAATGGAGTGAGTAAGAGGAGAAATGACACAGGCTGGTGTCCTGCAGAGCAGGGCAGTCACTGTATTAACATCTCTGAAGTGGACTTGTGTACCTTATCTTCTCTGGCAAAATGATGGCTTCAGATCCTAAAAACACCCGCCATCTCAAGTTATTCCCTGAGAAATTTCTCCCCCAACAAGTGAGCTGGTTGTGAAGGTCCTCTCTGCCCACACCCTCATGAGTCAGGCTCCTGGGAGTTGCTTGCTTCAAGTTGAGTTCCTGGATTGCACAGATCTTAGCGACTTGGTTGCAAGCTCATGTGGGGTGATGCTCACAGCTTTGGCCCATTAACAGGGGGTGCATTCTTTCTCCATTGATTGGAACACTTTCTTAAATATTCATAATGACTGTTTGCTTTCTTCCCTTAGCCATTTTGGGTACGACTCTTCTTTTGGAAGCAGGTGGCAGAAAAAATCCCACTACAGCCAAAGCACTTCAGGATTTTGAATCCAGTTATCATCAAGGAGACAGCCTTTGACATCCTTCAGTACTCAGAGCCTCAGTCAAGGTTCTGGGGTCGAGATAAGGTATTTTTGTTGCCTCTGGAAATAAATTGTTCTCTGTGCTCCAGGGGAGATTTCTGTGCACAGTCCCGGCTATCTGATTTAATTGGGCTGTGCTGTGATCTGCGTGATGGGATGAAGTGTTCTCTGGGTGATTTGATTGTGCAGTCTAACTTTGTACTAGAGGCTGTTAAATGCAGTAGATTCTTTACCTGCAATTAACTGAATTAATCATCTGGGTGAGGCGGAGATACATTTATTACCCATTTCTTCATCATCTGTATAGCTAAATCTGTGCCCCTGAAACTTTTTTCATTTAAGCAGTGGAAGAAATAGTCCTTACATAAAAATTTTAAGTAAAACCTCCATAAGTAAAGGAAAGCAAGGAATTTTGAAGTGTGGGGTCCATTGTTCCCACTGGAGGCACGTCAGAGTCCCAGTTTGAACTGGACTCTTAGGGGTTATCAACCAGCAGATAGATTATTAGCTTCTTCTATTGCCTCTATAAATCCAATGCTAATTTAAAATATCCTTTATGACAGCTGTGTAAATATCAAAGAAATACACCTGTGGTTATGAAGGAAAGCAAACTCTTAAAGAGGCACTTTGAAAACAAAAACATAGCTCTTCACTGCAGTCAGGAAGCTGCTAAACGCAATTCTGACTGCATCCTCAGTCTGGAATCCCCAGCTCTTTGAGAAACCTTTCACAGAACTGAAGCTCTTCCCCAGCAGGCGGCCATTTTCCCAGGTGCTCTGCTTCGGTGCTGTCCAGCCTTCCAGAGGCCGCGAGCACGTACCTGCTCCCATGGCGGAAGATGGCAGAAGCACCTCAGTCAGGAGGCGGCACATTTCCCTCCAAGGGCAAGAGGAGCTCACCTTGCAGCAGTGCTCAGGGTCTGGAGAATCACTGTTGAGGTAGCTTTAGCTGTTGCTGCCCCCACAGGAGCACACAGACCTCCCCAGAACATGGCTTCAAGCTTTTTACTTCACTGTGGGCATCACTTTTAGCAAAAACGGTCAGAAAAAGCAGATGACTTAGACCAAGTTGTAAAACCTCTTTGTATTGTATTGATATACTCAAGTATATTTATATACTTACATACTTAATACTTTTAGCAAAACTGTTAAAAAACAGGTGATTTAGATTTTGGCAAGATTCTCAAACTGAGTTGTAAGAGGTTTATTTACAAACTTGTTTATAATCCATTAATATACTCAAGTATATTTACTCAAGCATATTATAAGTATACTTGAGTATTTTTCAATACCTTGCCTTACTTTGATAGGCTACGATTTCTGTATTTGTTTAATCTACCCTGTTTCTTTGCCAAGTTGCTTAGTATTTATAAACACAGGCAAATTTGCTCATTTGTTTGTGTTACAGGTAGAGTTGATTTTACAAGGAACTTTTTAAAAGCCAGTTGATTTAGTTGCATAAAATGAGGGTGGTGAGCAGAAAAAGTGTCAGAAATAAAATTAGAACACAAAATAAGTGGGAGAAATTTTATCATCTAGACAACAGAGCAGACACTCTCAAAGTACAACAAGATTATCAAGCCAAAAAGAGATGAACCCAGTAAGGATGTGGGGAAGTAATATGGCAGACATTTCACAAAAGAAAAAGTTTAGATAGCCATGGAGTAGATGATAAAATATTCAACTTCACCAATAATCAAATAAAAGCAAAAATAGCCTAAACGTCCAACATTAGGAATAACTTAAACGTATTATGGTATAGTTGATACAGTATTATCTAAGGATGAAGAAAAACTAATGAATATGAAAACCCCTTCATTTATATGATTTGAGTTGTAGAACATTTTCCTGATCCCATTTTTGTTTAAAAATTAAGGCTTGTGTATACATGCACAGGAAATAGCTTGAAAACAAACAAAACTGAAGGACATTTGCCCATGAAAATCTATGCAAAAGGATATCAATTGGTAGGTAAGCAGCAACCTGCAGAAAAATCTTTCTACTCTTCTCTGCCCCGTGTTCTGTTTCTTCCCAACACTGGGAGGCAGATATAGGGCAGCAGATAGGAGGCACTGGTGGGCTTGGCCATTGGCATTCTACACTGGAGTTGTAGGATACATTTTGGAAGGCACAGATGTGAAAGCCCTTAATTTGGGCCTGAAAATATATTGCCCAGAGATTGAGCAGAAACTGGTTTAGCAGCTGTTAATATGAAAATAGCCTGGAAGTGTTATTTATCAGGAAAGCAAATGAGGGCTTCCCCCAGAGAAATAATCAGGCTGTGATATAATTAAGGGCATTTATTTGAGAATAAGAATATTGACCCCAGCACTGACGAGCCAAGTGGTCTTCCCACCCTGGGTCTCATAAGAGTAAGGGCAGATGTAAAGAATAGAGCAGAAGATGGTCTGAGGTTGTCATTTGTGCTGATACTTGTATACATTTGTCTGTCTCTGGTGGATAGCAAAGTCTCCATACCTCCTCTTTGGGGTCTGTTGCCAGCATTGGCTAATGATCTCTTGGTTTTTTCCCTCACAGTCACTGATTAGCTGAGGCACCTAGAAGTCTTAGCCTCGAAGCTTAGAGGCAGTGCTATAGGCTGTTCTACTGAAAATGGGTTTCATGAGGGTCTTATGTGGGAGGCAGCTATTGATGAGGGTGAACAATCTTCACCACAGGGAACTGGGCTGGCTTTGTTCTCAAGCAGAGTCATCCCCAGAAGCCAGGAAGAGATGGGTTTTCAAACCATGTCCTGAGAAGACCTGTGGAAGGTCCTGTGTGGAAGGTCCCATAGCAACCCATGTAGACTTTGCCATGTGAGAGAGAAAATGGGTTCATTTTGCAAACTGATTATAGGGACGCTGGCAGGAAGAAGCTTTGGACAGAATACACTCAACTTGGTACAACTTGTCTCTTGATGGTACATTAAAGTAGTCACATCACAGACCATGTTTTAGAGTCTGGATTCCTGACTCAGATAGAAAGTCAGACTTTAGGATTTGTGATATTGAAAATTGTGTGATCGATAAAATTACATCTCCTTGTGCAGCTTTGATTACTTGTCAGCATATGTATACTGCCTGTACAGTACTTGGAAAGCAGCAGACATGCTAAAATTTTTGTGGTTGTTCTTTCTTTCCAGAATGTTCCCACCATTGGTGTCATTGCTGTTGTCTTAGCCACACATCTGTGCGACGAAGTCAGCTTGGCGGGCTTTGGATATGACCTCAGCCAACCGAAAACACCTTTGCACTATTTTGACAATCTTTGCATGGCTGCTATGAACTTTCAGACCATGCACAATGTTACAACAGAGACCAGCTTCCTCCTGAGGCTGGTCAAAGAGGGCGTGGTGAAGGATCTCAGCGGGGGTATCCACAGTGAATTTTGAACACAAAAAAACCTCACTTGAAAATGCAACTGACTTTGAAGGCTGTATTTCACAGCCTTTTCGATGCATTTCATTCTGCAAATACTTTAAAGTGCAGCTAGTGTTTTTAACTTTTAATTTAAAAAGCAAAAAAAAAAAAAAAAAAAGCCCAAACCAGTTTCGCTATTCCCACCCTTTCCCCTTATTTATTTGAATCAGTGATTTTGCACAAAAAGTTTTGTAAGTTAATCTTGAGAATTGAATTGGAAAGGCTTCTCAAAGAAAATTGTATGTCATGGTTTTTACTATATTACAAGAAAGCTATTTAATTTGTAAAGACTATCCATGTCTACTGCCCACAGAGTATCAGGTCGTTACGTGGAAGGAGACCGACGTCAGTCCTTCGATGACAGCCCCGAGTGCCTGGTTCTGGTTCTCTGACTGTTTCACGCTAGAGGCACTAGCAGGACTACAGCTCAGTAGTGAAATCACTGATACACCTTCGCTGTGCTGCTGCAGGGGGCCTGGGTGGGAGCAGTTCATGCCCCCGCTCTGGCCTGTCTGCTTTCAGGAAAACAGCCAGGGGAACTGGAGATCTAGTCACAGAGAGACACAGAAGACATTGCCTGTGACCGCGGAATACTGTGAAGCCCCCTGCGCTGCAGAGATATTGTCTTCCTTGCAGCTGTGACAATGCTGGAATTCTTGAGCGTTTTTGACTCCTATTCCAAAGTACTTAAATGTTCATCTAAGGTGTTCCACTGCCCATCTAAGGTGGCTTATAAAAGTTAGGACAAAAACCTCTTGTTATCCAGAGCCCAGAGAAATAAACCTATCCAAAAATAATTGTGTTTTCTGAAACACTGAAATGAAATCCTTCCAGTGTTATACATCGCCTATTCATAAAAAATGTTTGAGTCCTACCTGGCAGGAGGTACCAGTGCTGGTATGCTGGTACACCTGGCCCCCCAGCGTGTAAGCTGCCACCCCTCCAGAAAAAAAGAAGAAGAAAAGGAGCTCTCGCAGTCTAGTGAATTTGAGTGTGTTTCTTTTAAGAAAAAAGTCCATCAGTGGACCTAAAAAGTCCTCGGATGCCGCTGCCAGGCAGTGACCTCTCTGGACGCTGTCATGAGGGACGCGAAAGGCCTTGTCCTGGGAGGGGCTTCACCCCAGACAGCTGCAGATGCTTCTGGAGAGATGTTGGTTGTTCCTACTTTGGGGAACAGGCTTGGTCTAGCTTCTGCTCTTAATGGCTGTGGGCTTGGCTGTCAGATCGGCTGCCCCCTGCTCCCTCCCTGCCCTGCCTCAGTTGTCTCTCATTGCAGCTGGTGTGCACCTGTCATCCCCCCCTTTTTTTTTCTTTTTGTGGCCCCAATACAGCTCCAGCTCCCAGCACGATCTCACGTCTTCACATTGCTGCCACCACGGACCTCGGTCACAGCATTCACACAGCCCCTGGGTCCCTAACTCGGGTGAGCTCAGTGCAGCCAGCGTAACAGGACAGTATTGCTCTCGTCCTGCGTCTTAGAATTGTGGATTTTGCTTTCTACTTGGTAAGATAGCTTAAGAGAAAAATGCTTTAAAAACTCCCATGAGCTCAGTGACTTAGTTTTAAAAATTGGAGACAGTCTGTTGCTGTCTGGTGACTCAGGTAGCCAGGTCTACATCCTGTATCTCTATGTTGTCCTTTTCTCTCTTTTTTTTCATCCTTACAAGCTTTACCCATATGCCCCTCATTTTTAAATTACTAGCAGGCAGGAAATAGCCCAAGTGAATAAGAGGCATATTCTTTCCAAAGACCTTATGGAATCCACCAGCAAGTGTGAGTTGACCGGAGATGACCCACAAGAGCTTTGAGCATAGTGGCAAAAAATTTATGGGAAGTTTCTTCTTAGCTTCAGAATTACTCTTTAAACCACCCACATCTACCTCCAATATTCTGGGGAAAGACTTAGGTGCTTTACCATGTCACCAGGGCTGAGATTTCACCATCCCTCTTGCAACTTTTCATAGCTCTATAGGCACACACACACACACACAGAGAGAGAGAGAGAGAGACATCCCTCCTGTATGATGTCATCACTGGTTTTGAGGTGACAGGAAACCTCCACCTGTTCTGTCTGTTAGCATCCCATTGGAACTTTGAGCCACAGAAAATGCCAGTGAGTTTTAGTTTTTTTGTGCTTTGTATTAGAGCATACTCTCTAGAAATGTTAAGGGGGGAATTTCTTGGGAATGGGGATGAATCTCTCTCAGTGGCATTTTGCGTGTTTGTTTGCAAAGTTAAGTCATTGGTGCCCTGAGCAACTGTTTGTGCCTTGCTGGTTCCCCTGCAGAAACAAAGGACAGGCTGACTTTTGAATACTCCCAAAGAAAAGGTGAGATTTTAAATATAATTTAACATTGAAATAGGAAATGAAAGACAGACTTTGTATTTCGATGACTTTTCATTTCTTTCACCCTCTTGAAGCCCTTGAGTAGATGTGATCTCTCTGTGTAACAAACTTGTACTTAGGCCCCCTGCAGCTGTCTCAGCCATGCCTGGGGAATTCAAAACTTCCACCAACACCCACCCAAGCAACTTTGTTGTAAGAGAGAAAGAAGAGGGAAATATCTTGAAGGGTTGCTCCTGTGAGCCAACAGCCCAAAGTTGGGGTGTCCTGTGCTGTGCCCTCAGGCACAGTGGCAGTGTGGGCCCACCATCTGCTCTGAGGGGTCCGCAGTGCTGAAGTCCTATCTGGAGCGCACAGACCTGCAAGAACAAGCCACGCTGAGACTTCCCTTCTCCGGTTGCACTCCCACATTTTCCAAAACTTGAAACTGAGCCCCAACCCAAGGATGGGTTATCATCAAATGGACAAAAGTAAACCAGGGAAGAGACTAACGGCCGGGCCCCCTACACCAACACAGTTCTGACCATCTGGCAGACTGTGCCGTTCTCTGAACACCACCGTTCAATCTCTGAGCTGATACTCCTCCCGCGCTCTGGAGAGACCCCCTGGGCCGTATCTAGCAGCCAGGGAAGGCATGCCCTGCGCCAGGCCGCAGCACCTCTCCTGCTTCTCCCGCGAGGCAGGCCTCCTACCTATGCTCGGACCTTTGAGAAGCCACAGCTGGACCCTGTCCGACGGCAAGCAAAATGGATCCTGCCCCACCGCTCTGGCGTTCAAAGGGACAAAAACAGTGGAAGTCCGAAACGACACTAAGGGTAGTACGCTGAGGCGAAAGAGGGGGTGTAGGGGAGGCAGCCTCGTACTAAAGCTGTGAGAACAGCGAGGAAGGGGTGCGGAGATTGCTGGCTGCGCTAACAGACCTGGCAGTGTGGGGGGTCACACAGCAGGACATGCTCTTCAGAGCAGAGGGCTAGGATAGGCTCCCGGTGCAGCTTCCAGAGGGATGAAGCCCACGGGCTGGGCTGGAGGTGAGTGGCAGGTTGCAGAGCACTGAGGAGCCTCCGGGGGACTGACGGACACTCCGTACACTGAAAACCATCCCTGTGGCTCCAGGTGGATGAAGAGTGGAGGTTGGGTGCGTGGGGAAGCTGAAGCGAGCAAAATGGGGACACCAAGGAAGGTGACTTCACTGTAGGCAAAACGGGAAAGTGGGTGTGCAGCAGCCCTGAGCCTGCCTGGTGGGATTCTGCCACTTTTCTAAACCCATCAGAAGTGACCGGAGAGACGCTGGTACAAAAGGCAGAAGGCGAAGAGGTAGCCCTACTTTCGTTATGGCACCCTCTGTACTTTGGGGCGAATCACAGCTATTCTCTGGGCTTCTCATCTGATAAACAGGGCACTGATTGGCCCCAGCAAACACTGCTTTTTCTTTCATGAAAAGAAAACCACCAGCGCTAACGGGAGTGGCAGGTTGAAGGGGCCACAGTGCCACCTGGTGGCCATGAGGTGTATGCGCGGCTCCTAGGGGTTTCGAGGAGGCCCGGGTGCTGCTGGTCGGACTCCCTCCCCTGCAAGGTCTAGGTTCCTCTGCTGGCTAGCACACCCTCATCAGCTGTGGGTGCACTTCTCTTTCCTGAGCTACCTCTGGCTACGTCCTCTTCCCCCTCCGTTGTCCATGATCCTCTTTTCCTTCCACTGTAAACCTGGAAGACCGTCCTCTCCCACTGTGAATGGGATTCACGTTTTGATGTTGCCTCTGTAGTCAGACCCAGGCGGCCCCCAGAGGCTTCCAGAGCCCAGCCCACCCTGTTCATCTCCCTCAGAAAACTGCCTCCTCCCTGGGCCAGCCTGGTCTCCAGGCTCCACAGGCTGAAATGCTGTGTCTCATGCTGGAGCTCATCCACTTTCTGATAGGCACCACGCACAGGTGCCAGGACTCAGTCTTGATCCACTGTGGGCAGGTCAGGTGAACTCTCCCTCTGCAAAGTCTCCTCCATCCAGATGGACTGCTTAGAAGCGTGGTGCTCTCCAGGAGGCCAGGGAGCGCCCACACATCCTGCGGAGTACAGCTCTACCCGATGCTTCTCTCTGCAGGTCCCTGCTCACCCAAGCCGCCAACTCCTAGGCCCACCTAGGAGGACTTCCTTTAGGATACAAATAATTTACCTGCACTGCTCACAGGAAGACAAAAATAAGAAAATTAAAATTACCCATGTTCTTATCTGAATAGGCCTACCACAAATAGAGAGAGAAAATTAGTAATTAATAAATCTCCCACAAAAAGTAGCTCAGGACCTGATGGCTTCACTGGTGAATTTTACAGAGTGTTTAAAGAATTAATACCAATTTTTAAAAAGATTTATTTATTTATGCATGCAGAACCGGGTACAGGCTAGAAGTATAAGGGCAGAAAGGGGAGCAGAACTGGCAGGTGGATGAAGTACACTATTGAGGGGAGCAGCAGGCAACACAGGAGAAGGTCTCTTGTGCCATGTGGGTCTCCTGAAGTAGCTATGGCTAGCTCTGTAGTGCTAAGCTTTAACTTGTTGCGCCACCAGGGAGGGCCCAGGAAAACAATTTTTTTTTTAAAGATTTATTTTATTTGTACATATAGAACTGGGGTACAGGCCAGAGGCTCAGGGGCAGTGAAAGGCTTCCCCAGAGACAGAGTGGAAAGCAGAACAGGCAGATTTACGAAGTACACTGCTGAGGGGAGCAGCAGGTGGGCCAGGAGAGGTCTGCTGCGCCATGTGATCACCTCAGGGGCAGGCGGGAATCGAACTCATGTGAAAGTGTCTTTAGCTTCTCAGTGCAGTGCTTTAACCCACTGCACCACCAGGGAGGGCCCAAGAAAACAATTTTTAACTCATTTTATGAGGCCATTATTACTCTGATACCCAAACTAGAAAAGACATTAAAAAAACTACTGGTCAGTTTTTCTTATGATTATGGGTGCAAAGTCCTCAAAAAATACTAGAAAATTGGGTTCAGCAATACATAAAAACTATTATAATTCACAACCAGGGAATTATTACAGGAATGCCAAAGTAATTTAATACCCAAAAATCTACTTTCATAATATATCATATCAATAAAATAAAGGACAAAACTCAAATGAGCCAATAATTCCACTCTAAGAGAAATCAAAACATATGACCATATAAAAACTTGTACATGAATATTAACAATATTATTCATAATAACCAAAACATGGAAACAACCCCAAACTCTCTCCACTTATGTACAGATAAATAAAAGCAGAATATCTATACAAAAAATATTGATTAGCCATAAAAAGAAGTAAAACCTTAATACAACATGATTGAATTGTGAAGGTTTTGCTAAAGAAGCCGATCAAAGAAACAATGATTCCGTTTACATGAAATGTATGAAACGAGAAAGTCTATAGGCAAAAAGTAGCTTAATGGCTGGCTACAGCTTGGGATGACAGCAGATTGGGGAACTGCA